CAGCCTCCAGGGAGAAGAGCCTGTGTGTGGGGTCAGCCGAGGCCTGCAGCCCTGAGCAGATTCCCTGGTAACATCAGCAACCCTGGCCCAAGCCCGGAGGCCTAAGGTCCTGGCGCCTGGGGAGCCAGAGCTGTAACCAGCATCAAAGTCTGGGATTAGTGATGCTGGGAGGAGCTCTTAGCATCTTTAGAGCCTGGACAATAGGCTTAAACTCCCAGCAGCTGCAAAGCCCTGGACACCAGCAGCGAGGCCTGCCAGCACCGCCCCTGGCAAAGGCCCACCTGCGGCTTTGACCGGCCCCTGTGTGTGGGTCAAACGAGGTGGCCTGGATTCCACTCTCCCAAGGCCGGCTCATCCCTTAGCCAGGGCAGAAACTTCCAGAGTAACTAACCCCTGGCCACGGCCCAATTCTCATTGTCAGAGGGTCCGATGAAAAGAGGGGCAGGCAGGCCTGACTCCATCCACTCTGCCCCTTACAGTCGGCCTCAGTCTCCCCATCTGGCCAATGGGAAGAATCTTACCCCCACGCCCACCCCAGGGAACTGAGAAGGTCAAGTGGTGCATTTCATGAACATGGCGGGAAACAGTGCAGGGACCCCCACGCACCTGCTGTATTGGTGGTTTGGGTTTGAAAGCAATGGGATCAGGAAGGGGAGAAAGCTCGTGAATGGTTACTCCCAGGAGCCCTCCAGCTAGAAGTGCTTCCTCAGAGTTCGCAGGGCCCTTCTGGAGAGGGGAGGGGCAGCAGATCAGAAAGATAAGCTTCCTTATAAACTCACTGGGCATTTCCAGGGACAGGGCTGAGGACCCTGGGGGGCCAAGGAACCGCCCAGGCCAGTGCCCACTTCCTCACGTACCCCAGGCGAGCCCAAGCTGCCAGTTAGGACTGCCTTCGAGTAAGAGCCGTGTGATGATTGGAAGACCTTGAAACTTTGGGGAGAGGCAGATAGATAGATAGATAGATAGATAGATAGATAGATGATAGATAATTTTATATAAACTGCGCCTCAGAAGTTTCCCGACTCTGTAGGGAGACAGGCCCATAGGCAGTTAGAGCAGCAGAATGTGAGTGGTGCCCCTGGGGCATCTCAGGATGCCTCAGCCATCAAATCAGGAGGGCTTCCTGGTGGAGGAGACGCATGAACTGCATCTGGAAGGATGACTGGCCAGGTGACGAGGCAGAGAAGGAAAGGGAAAGGGAAGGGAAGGGAAGGGAAGGAAGGGAAGGGGAAGGGAAGAGAAGGGGGAACCTCAATTACAGCAGTTCTAAGAAATTTTGGCCAGGCTGATGGGGAGAGCCTCACTTAATGTCACATGTTGGGGGGGGGGAGGGGAGGGAGATGAGCAGTGATATTGGCTCCATCTATAAACAGCCTAAGGATGGGAAGGGTGGCTTAGATCAGTCTGTGTGCAGTTGACTTGCAGGAGTGACCCAGACTCACACTCCTGACCCAAGTCCCTGGCTGAGGGGGAGCTCGGGGTCCTAGAGGATGGCTGCCAGTCCCTTCTTGCCCCCGCCCTCCAAGCCATGTTCCATACCACCCCCATTTTTTTTATAAGACACCCAGGGAGCCACTCTTCCCATTGCAGCTCCCAAACCATCACAGACTCCCACCTCCCCTGGTGCCAGGCCCCACTACCAGCTCCCTGGCTATCAGCGAGCCTGGATTTGTGGGGAGGGGAAGGAACTGGGGGCAGGAAGGACCACTTTTTCAAACGCTGTTATTTAATCTTCACCACAGCTCTGCAGGGCCCATGTTTCTATGCCCATTTCACAGATGTAGAGACTGAGGCCCGATGTAAAAGAGCACTGTTCTGAGTGCTTTCCGGCGTTAACTCAGGGAAGCCTGTCACAGCCACTGTTACCCCTGTTTTGCAGAGGCCACCTAGGACAGGCGGGGGCTCTCCTGGAGCCATTGTTTGGGGTTCTCTGAAGGAGGCAAAAGAGGTGGCCCCAGTTTTGCTTGCTGCAAGCTGGCTGTGGACTGGCCGCCCTTGAGCACCGCTCCCTCTGCAGGCCTTAAAGGGGCAAAGCCCACTGCACTCCCGCTTTCCCTGGGAAAGGCTATTTTTTGTTCCAACTGGCCGTCCAGGGGGTCCCTTGAGACGGCTGGCCTCTCTCCAGGACACAGGCCTGGAACTTGGCCCAGCCCCAGGCAGAGGCCTCAGAAATCAAGCTGGGCAGCTTGAAGACGAGGGGAAACTGAGGCCACAAGAGGAGGCAGGCAGGACCTCTGACCCAGCCCCACCCTCACCCCGCCATGACATAGGTACTCTCATTGTGCCCATTGTACAGACGGAGAAACTAAGGTTTCTAAGAGGTCACAGGGCTAATAGATGGTAAGGCTGTGATTCGAACCCGGCCAAGCTGACCCACAGGCGACTTCAGAACTGCCCGCTTCTGCCGAGGCTGAACTGCCCCTCCTGCTCTCGGGGAGAGACCCCGTCCCTGGCAGACATCCCAGCCTGTAATTGCATAGGCCCCGTGACGGGGAGTCCCCTCCTGAAGAGCCTGACACCATGTGAGGCCCAGCACTCAGCCTGAGCACATGGAGCCCTCCTGATTCTCCCACAAACCCTATAACAACAGCATTTACTAGTGCCTCCATCTGTGCATCAGGATTCTGCAGATGAGAAACTTACCCAAGGATCCTCCCAAACGGAGGATCTGAGAGGAAAGCAAGCGCTGGCCAGGCCCTCCGAGGGGTAGGGGAGTTCGCCTCTCAAAGGCAGAGCCCTCGCCCTCACGTCCCTTCAAGGTCTGCCCCACCTCGTCCATCTGTATGGGCACAGGTGTAGGCCAGATGGTCGGCTGGATGAGGTGGCAACATTGCCTCTGCCTGCTCAGATCCCACGTGTGTACCAGTTACTTGGATCAGTGTTCTTGGGATTCCCAGAAATGAGCACTGGATTTGAGTTTGGAAAACTGGGCTCCAAATCCTATCTTTCCAGCTTTCTGTGCAAACCCTTCCTTCCCCTTCCCTGAACCTTAATTGCCTCATCTGTAAAATGGGAGCATCAAGTCTCCTGGAAGGAGTGGAGGTGTTGCAGAACTAATCCCAGTTAATTCAACAAAAAGCACTCTTTCCTTCTAGGGCTGCTGTCGGGGCAATGCCATGAAATAATTGACAAACGGAAAAGATCTGAATACCATCTGAGACACGGGGTAGGGTCTGGCAAGTCTGGAATTATATAGGATTACATAGGATGTGGCAAAAGAGGCTTTGCAGGTGTAGTTAAGTTGAGGATCTTCAGATGGGGAGAGTATCCTGGATTATCCAGGTGGGACCAATATAATCACAAGAGTTCTTATAAGACGGTGGTTCTCAACCTTGGCTGCACATTAGAATCACCTGGGAATCTTTTTAAAATCCTGATTTCTGGGCCTCATCCTCCGGAAATTCTGTTTCTTTGTTACTAATGTTGTGGTCCCACCCCATAACAAAGAAACAGAATTTCCGGAGGATGAGGCCCAGAAATCAGGATTTTATAAAGATTCCCAGGTGATTCTAATGTGCAGCCAAGGTTGAGAACCACTGTCCCAGAGCATCTGGTGAGGGAAAGGCACACAGCTGAGTGCTGTCCATATGCCTATGATCAGCCCAAATCGGCCAACAACCGCCTTGGGGTGAGGGCCTGGAGGGTCCCCATCAAATGCTTGCTTTCATCCAGAGCCACAAGAAGGCTGCAAACAACGCACCCCCACTAATCATTTATTCTCATCTGCACACATCTGATCTAAGCCGCCCACGCTGGGCTACTCAGCTTCAGGTGCAGGCCCTGCCGCTCGGCTTGCTCGGCTCGGCTCGGGGCTCCTCTGTGCAGGCTGGGCTCAGGCTGCCCCAGGTTGTTCACTCTGATCAGCCCTTATCAGGGCCAACAACCGCCTTGGGGTGAGGGCCTGGAGGATCCCCATCAAATGCTTGCTTTCACCCAGAGCCACAAGAAGGCTGCAAACAAAGCACTCCCACTAATCATTTATTCTCATCTGCACACATCTGATCTAAGCCGCCCACGCTGGGCTACTCAGCTTCAGGTGCAGGCCCTGCCGCTCGGCTCGCTCGGGGCTCCTCTGTGCAGGCTGGGCTCAGGCTGCCCCAGGTGTGTTCACTCTGGGGCCCAGCGCAGGGCAGTGCCTCCAGGGGGAGCTCTTCTCCCGGCGATGGCAGAAGAGCAAGCCCCACAGCACAAGCCAAGTCAAGTGGCTGCTTTATCACGTCCACCAGCATCCACTGGCCAGAGCAAGTTCATGGCCAAGCCCAGTCTCGATGGGGAGAGGAGAGGGGATACTCTGCCTCCAGGGAGAGGGGTGAGCATTTGCCAAGCAAACCAAATTATAGCACGAGTATTTTGGATATTTTTAAAAAGACCTCATGTGATTCTCATGTTCAGCCAGGGCTCAGAACCATTGACCTACGGTCACGCTGCTTGTCAGCCAGTCAAAACGAAAATCAGGCTTAATTAATTTTACTTTATTTCCTAAAAGCAGTTTGACTCAACCAGTGTTCATTTTTCCTTGAGGCATGTCTGGGTTTGTTTGTTTGTGTGTTGTTTTTAATGAGAGTCCCTGGAATTAACATGACAATTTTTTTAAACAATTGATTTTAATTAGCTCACGAGATTATAAGTAACAGGCCTATGTATGAGCCCTAGCACGCAGTGCCGAGAAATGGAAAAATGCCGGGAGAAGATGTTGTTGGGTAATTGGAAGGAAGGAATGTGAGCACTGTTGTGAACACTCCGTGAGGACAGGGATTTTTGTCGGTTGGCATCATTGTTGTATCACCAATGCTTAGACGAGTGCCTGACACAGAGTCAGTGCTCAATAAGTAATCCCTCATTAATGGTGCGTGCATTCATAGCGAGAGGCTGTCTGGAATGGAAGACTGAATGGTGGATGAGTGGATGGTTGGTGAGATAGATAGATGTATAGTTGGATGGATGGGAGGAGGGATGGAAAATGGATGGGTAGGTGGACAGACAGAATGATCAGAGGGTGGATAATGGAGGGATGGGTGGGTGTTGGATGACTGGATGGATAGGTAGATGAGTACATGGATAGGAGCATGAATGGTTGGGTGGGTGGATGATTAGGTGGTTGGATAAATGTGTGGATAAGTGGACAGATGGGAGGGTGGATGGATAAATGAGTGGTTGGATGGACAGATGGGTGCATGGGGAAATGCATAAAAGGACAGATGGGTGGCTGGTTCATAGATTCGTGGATGCCAGAAGATAGCAGAGACTTCCCAGTGGGTAAACATAGATGTTTTGCAAAATTGTTAGTGACCAGGATGTTTTGGTCTCCTCACAGGGTTTTCTGATTTGCTGTTTCCTCCTCCCCACCAAGTGTCTCCTCTGGAGACCGGGGTGAGAGGTGCAAGAGATGGCCACGGAGATCAGCGCTCCGGGCACACAGCGTGCCATTGGGAACGAGGAGTACAGCCTGTACAGCAGCCTGAGCGAGGAGGAGCTGGTCCAGATGGCCATTGAGCAGAGTCTGGCTGACAAGACCCGGGGTCCAACCACTACTGAGGCCTCCCTGTCCGCACGTGCCAACCGCCAGCCTGCCCATTTCTACCCATGGACCAGGTAAGCCAGGGGAGGCCACCTGGGCCGTTCATAAGGTGCTGATCCCAAGCGCTACTAATTCAAATCCAAAATGATTTACATTTATTAACTGAACTTCCTGAGCTCTGACAGCGCCAGGTGCTGGGTGAGGTGCTACATGCACTTTGCCTCATTTAACCCTCTTACGAACCTTCTAGGAGGCTCTGTGCTAGATTCCCATTTTACAGATGAAGAAACTGAAGCTCAAGGCAGAGTAACTAGTCTCAGACCACACAGCGAGGAGATGGTGTTGCAGAGCCTGGGCTGTGGCCGGGCCTTGCACTTCCTGACTGCATGTTTGAATGCAGTGGACGGATACCCGAGTCTGCCCAGAGCTCCCACCCCATCTGTGCAGTCTCCCTGGGTGTCTGAGAAGCAAATAACATCTTCCCAGCAAGGCCACAGCGAGGAGATGGTGTTGCAGAGCCTGGGCTGTGGCCGGGCCTTGCACTTCCTGACTGCATGTTTGAATGCAGTGGACGGATACCCGAGTCTGCCCAGAGCTCCCAACCCCATCTGTGCAGTCTCCCTGGGGAAACGTGTCTGAGAAGCAAATAACATCTTCCCAGCAAGGTGATCCTGCCCCCTTGCTCTGGCACCTCTATCTCAGCATGATCCCATCCTCCCAGCAGCAGGACCAGCTAGAGCAGCACCCCAACAGAGGTATGAGACAGGCCACAGTTGCAATTCCACATACACCATTTTTTTGTGGTTTTAAAAAAATATATTTTTTATTGATTTCAGAGAGGAAGGGAGAGGGAGAGAGAGATAGGAACATCAATGATGAGAGAGCATCATTGATCGGCTGCCTCCTGCATGCCCCACACTGGGTGCCCTGACCGGGAATTGAGCCATGACCTCCTGGTTCATAGGTCGATGCTCAACCACTGAGCCACGCCAGCTGGACTCCACATGCACCATTTTGAATGTCCCAAGAGCCACATTACAAAGTAGAGAGAAACAGGTGAAATTAACTTATGCCTAAAGTATTATCATTTCCACATCATCAATATAAAAAAAATCACAAAAAAGATGTGTACATTCTTGTTTTCTCATATTAAGTCTTTGGAATCTGGTGTCTTTTGCACTCACCACGCATCTTGACTCAGACTCCCCACAAGAGCAGTGGCGGCAGGTCGATGCTCAACCACTGAGCCATGCCAGCTGGACTCCACATGCACCATTTTGAGTGTCCCAAGAGCCACATTACAAAGTAGAGAGGAACAGGTGAAATTAACTTATGCCTAGAATGTTACCATTTCCACATCATCAATATAAAAAAAATCACAAAAAGATGTGTACATTCTTGTTTTCTCATAGTAAGTCTTTGGAATCTGGTGTCTTTTGCACTCACCGCGCATCTCGACTCAGACTCTCCACATGAGCAGTGGCGGCCGTAAGGACACCGTCTTGGTCGGGGGGGAGCCGGGAACATGATTAAGCACTGGACCTTAGATGCTTTTAGAAAAGAAATACACACATTTAAAAGATGCTCTGCTCGCCAGGAGTCCAAGTCGAGTGTGTGTTGGGAAGTGGGTGACAGCAATGGGAGTGGCTGCTGCAACTGTGTTATCTTGGGCCCGGGCCTCAGATCTCATTGTCTCCAGCAGCTAGCTTGACTCCCTATGTGGCCCTGAGCAAGTCACCTCACCTTTCTGAAACACAGTCTCCTTCTCGAATAATAATAGCAACAACAGCAACAAAAAAATAAACAGACTTCCCCTCCCTCCTTGCCCCCCAGGTGTCCAGCCCCAGCTGATAGGGAGGAAGGTAGGTGATGGTGCGACGTTGGCCCTGGCCCAGGCTGGACCATCTCTGCGAGGCAGGCTGGCCAAAGGCCCGGGAAGTCTGTCACCAGGGAGTCCCTTCTAAAGGGGAAGGCAGGCAGCCTCCTTGGGCAGCTGGGAGGCTCCAGGTTATGGAGCTGCCCCTGAGGACATGCCATCTGGGGACTCAACCTGAGAAACAGAAGCCCAGAGCCAAGGACTCATGGTGACCTGTGCTCTAGGCCGCTCTGGTTCCTGTCCTGGCCAGTTCGTTCAGCGTAAGTTAGACCACAGCTTCCTCTTTCTCAGGAGGGATCAGAGAGCAGAGCAGCCTCCCTCCCACGGAGTCTTCAGCACAAGCCAGCATCCCGGGCCTCGCAGCCTTCTCCCAGCGCGGGAGCCCCACCCGGGAGTCCTGCGCCCAGACTCTGGCCTCCTCCTTCCTCTAGTGGAGAAGGAAGTAGAGACACACCATGAGGCCAGTGTAAACACTTACTCAGCCTCCTGAGAAAAAAGCGCTCAGAGAGAAGTAAAATGACTTATCCAAGGTCATGTGACCCTCACTGACGATCCAGGTACAGGTAATGTAGGGGAGAAGAATTCAGCCCTGCATCTTGTCACTCTCCCCCCACAAAAAATTTTTTTAATTGAAATTATTGGGGTGACATTAGTTAATAAAATTATATACGTTTCAGGTGTATAATTCTGTAATACATCATCCTTATATTGTATCGTGTGTTCACCACCCGATTCAAGTGTGTTTCCATCACCATTTATGCCCCTTTGCCCTCCCTACCTCCCTCCACCCCCTTGCCCTCTGGTAATCACCGTACTATGGTCTGTGTCTGAGTTTTTTCTTTGCTAATCATCTTCCTTTGCCCTCCGAGGGCTCCCTGAAAGGCGGGTCTGACTTCCCATCCCATGGAGAAGTAGGGTTCGTGCACTGCTGGCCAGAGCGGAACAGAACAGGGGGCGCCCCCAAGGTTACTAGGGTGGACTAGCCAGAGTGGGACCAGGAAGCTGGGTCTTCAGTCTTTGAACTTCTGCATTTTATTTAAGGTTGCATTTCTGAGAAGACAAACAAGGAAAGCATGAAGCAGGAACTTGCTTGGGCTGATGTGTACGCACTGTGAACAACTCGAATCAGTCCATCCACACTCACGGTGCACTTCTGAGGTGCCAGCTTCCTGGCACCTGGATGTGGATCAGGCCTGGTCCCTGCCCTGTCCAAGCTTGAAGTCTAATGCGTATAAAAGGCACAGAATTACCCAATGACCCAACAGGAAAGGTGTAGCAAAGGGGCTTGTCTCGGTTTCCGAGGGACACAGAAAGGGTCTTTTCACTTAGTCAAGGAGGTGGGCTTTGCAGGATGAATAAGAGTCCACCAAGCAGGGTAGACGAAGCAGACTTCTTTGAGCCTCAGTTTCCTCATCTGCAAAAGGGAGCTAATTGCATCTCCTTCACAAAGTGGACTCGAGGATGAAATGAGATGCTTTGGGCCATGTACCTAGCACAAGGCTTGGCATATAGCAAGCGCTCAACCAATCTCAGCTATGCGTGTGTGGGAAGGCAGACGTGGCAGCTGGAATTCCTGTTCTCTATGATTCCTCTCTGGCCAGCCCAGAAAGGATGGCGTGGTCAATGGGTGAGGGAGAAACAGAATTCTCACGGGAGGTAGGCTGATCCCAAAGACCTGTGGGAATGGCGGTGGCAATGCCGTGTGAGCCCCTCCTCTCTGTACCCGAGAGGGCAGGGCTGGTTCTCTAGGAATCTGAGGTGTTGGCATGTAGCCACCCAACACTGCGATTACCGTATGAAGGATGGCGTGGTCAATGGGTGAGGGAGAAACAGAATTCTCACGGGAGGTAGGCTGATCCCAAAGACCTGTGGGAACGGGATGGCGGTGGCAATGCTGTGTGAGGCCCTCCTCTCTGTACCCGAGAGGGCAGGGCTGGGTCTCCAGGAATCTGAGGTGTTGGCATGCAGCCACCCAACACTGCGATTACCGTATGGGTAGTACCCCTCCAAAGGCTTCGGTTTGTTTTGTTTCATTCATTTAAGTTTATCAAGTGCCTACTGTGTGCCAGGCGCTGTACTCATGACACCTGTGCTTGACATAGGGTGGGAATGAGGACCAGATGAGAGTACAGGTATAGGGTCTGGGCACAGTGGTGGGCAAGGGCAGACTCTTGAATTTGTGAGCTTCCTCCCTTTAAGATGCCTGCATGCCACCTGCGTTCAGCCAGGTCCTGCCCAAGGTAACCCCTCTCCTGGGGCGGCTAGGCTTCTCATTCACCGAGCAGCCAGCGGGCATCACAGTGTGGGGCACGCAGGAGGCAGCCGATCAATGGTTCTCTCTCTCATCAAGGCATCACAGTTCCTCCCCAAGGCGGAAGCCAGGACGGGGCAGTGGGGAGCTGGTGATGGTGCTGCACTCCTGACCCCCGCGCTGCCCGCCCACGCGAAGGACAGGCCCCTACCTGGGCCTCTTCTAGGGCACGACCTGCGCCCACATCCCGCCAGGTTCCTCTCACGTCCGATGAGTCAGCCCGTGGTTTTCCCCTGCGCTGGGCCTGGGAAGGAAGTGCCGCTGCAGCCTCAGCAGAGAGAGCACGAACCCAGTCAGGGCCTGGCTCCCCCTCCAGCCGAGTTCAGACTCACGACTCAGTAGCTCGGAGCACTCGCCCTGCCTGCCCCTAACACCCAGTTAACCACAATGTCAGGGCTCCCAGCACAAGTCCTCCTGCCCCCTTTTCAGCCTCTCCCCTGCGGCTCTGTGGTTGTGTGTGTGTGTCCTTGTCTCACGTCCCGCTGGCCCCCGAACATCTTGAGGATCAACAAAAAGAAGAGCCCTGGCCCAGCTGGTGTGGCTCAGTGGTTGAGCCAGGAGGTCACTGTTCGATTCCCGGTCAGGGCACATGCCCAGGTTGCGGGCTCGATCCCCAGTGTGGGGGGCATGCAGGAGGCAGCCAATCAATGGTTCTCTCTCATCACTGATGTTTCTATCTCTCTCTCCCTCTTCCTTCCTCTCTGATATCAATACAAACATATATTAAAAAAGGAAGCGCCATATTGGTCTGCATCCCAGGTGCTGGTACAGGGCGTGAGCGAGCAGGAACTGAGAGGTTCTTGCTGAACTAATTCGGTTTGCCCGTTTCTTCCTCTGCGAAGTGAGAGCACTACACCCCCGGCCTCCATCCTGGTGGCGGGACCGTCGACATGAGGCACAATCCCAGGGGCTGTCAGCACGCCGACTCGCTGCCGCCCCATCGGCCGCACAGTCTCATGGTTGCTGGCGCTGTTATTATGCCACCAGAGAGAGGGCCTCGTCCTGGGGTGGGGTCCGGGGCCTGACCGGTGCCTACCACCTTGCTGAACACGTTCCAGCTCTGGGAGGGAAAATGTTCGGTCTGTTCCCGCTGACTGGCCTGGGCTGGATCTTCACGCGGTGTTTTGTTCTTGCTTCACTGATGCTCGGATGTTCTGAACAGCAGAGGGAAATGCTAGACTTGGAGAACCTTGATGCGTTTCTGTCGTTAACAGCACAGGGTAACATGCCTTGGAGCTTAGTAACCTGTGATAAAATTCAAATGATATTTACAAAATGGGAGACCACACGTGGGCCGATGTTGAGGGCGGCTGGGACCTGAGGATCCTGTGGAGACCGAAGCCTGCCCAGCGCTCTCCCCCTGCCAGGGCCAGGAGCAAGCGCAGATAATTGCGCTGAGCCCGGGTTTCAGGGCAAGTGGGTTGGTCTCTCATCTGTTTGACACGTGGACTTTCCACGCGAGTTCATTTCAGCAAAGACTCCACGGCTACGACAGCAGCGAGGAACCCCTGGCCTGGTCCTACCTCCTCATTTTTTAAAAAATTGATTTCAGAGAGGAAGGGAGAGGGAGAGAGAGAAAGAAACATCAATAATGAGAAAGAATCATTGGTCGGTCGCCTCCTGCACGCCCCACACTGGAAATCGAGCCCACAACCCAGGCATGTGTCCTGACCGGGAATCGAATCGTGACCTCTGGTTTATAGGTTGATGCTCAACCACTGAGCCAGGCTGGCTGGGTCCTACCTCCTCATTTTGCAAAGGAGGAAACCGAGGCACAAAGAGGGGCAGGGCCTTGTTCAAAGCCGCAGGGCCTGTCGGGTGGCCTTAGAGCTGGAGAGGACTAAGGTGGGGGAGGTGGTGTCAGTGCTCTGCTCCCTCAGCAGCTGCAGCTGTGTGTGTGTGTGGGGGGGGGCGGTAGGGGGTAGCCCCCCACCTTGCAGAGTCCCGGTTTCCTCGTCTATAAAAGGCCGTGACATTGGCACCCACCCCCAGCGTTAACGAATGAGGAGTGGGTACCCAGGAGAAAGGAGGTGGTGACAACTAGAAGGGAGGAAAGGAGGAGACAGTGGTATCAGGGATGAGGATGAGGAAGGGGTGACCTGGAGCCCCCTGAGATGGGCTGGAGCAGTGGAATCAGGGGTCCTTCCTTCTCTCTCTGCCCCCTCACCCCTGCCACGGTATCCTGGCCTCGCTGAGGTACTCACAGAGTCTGTAGAGTCTGGCCTGTCCTGGAAGTGTGGGTCCTACTCAGGGTCAAGTTTCTAGCACCTCCATGCCCCACAGGAGAAGGGAGGGGAGGAGGTGACGGTGGTATCAGGGATGAGGATGAGGAAGGGGTGACCTGGAGCCCCTTGAGATGGGCTGGAGCAATGGAATCAGGGGTCCTTCCTTCTCTCTCTGACCCCTCACCCCTCCCACGGTGTCCTGGCCTCGCTGAGGTACCCACAGAGTCTGTAGAGTCTGGCCTGTCCTGGAAGTGTGGGTCCTACTCAGGGTCAAGTTTCTAGCACCTCCATGCCCCACAGGGTGCTGGTCACTGACAACAATGTCCTCCCCAATCCCATAGAGCACCCCCCAGAGGGGTGCCCCCGGTCCCAGGGCTGACCTGTTGGAAGGAGGGCCAGCATGGGCCACGTGTCCCATTCCCAACCAGATTCCTGCAGCGGCCACCACACCTCCTCTCACCCCTCCCATCCCTCCCATCTTCAGAATAGCCAGGTGGGGTGGGGAAACTGAGGCTCCGAAAGGCGAAACAATGATAAAATGAACGGTGGACACGACGGAGCACCCCTGTGCGGGGCCCTCTGCTAAGCACTTCACACCGTCCACTCACGGAGACCTCAGCCCTGAGACTAAGGCCCGGCGAGGCTCACCCTGCCCGAGGTCACGTGGCCAGAAGGTGCCAGAGCCTGAGTTTGAACCCACATTGGTCCGACTCCACGCCCTGACCCCTAGGACCTTCCCCCGCATCCTTTTGCTAAAACCTTTATTTATTTTAAAATATTTTTTATTGATTTCAGAGAGGTAGGGAGAGGGAGAGAGATATAGAAACATCAATGATGTGAGAGAATCATTGATCGGCTGCCAACTGGGGATCAAGCCTGCAACCCAGGCACACGCCCCGACTGGGAATCGAACCGTGACCTCCTGGTTCATAGGTCGATGCTCAACCACTGAGCCACCCCGGCCGGGCTGCTGACACCTTTCTACTATACGTTCCCAACCCTGGGACGCAGGCCTCGCTAACGAGGAGCCGGCGAGGTGGGGTGGGGACAAAGACCAGCCTGGTTTCAGCTCCGCTCCCCTGCCCCCTCCCCCATGAAGCTCTTGTCCATCGCGGTGAGGACGGGGCCTGGCCAGCCCTGAGGCTGAGACCCTTTCATCCTGGGACCTGCCGCTGACAGTCTCACATCCTCCCGGGTGAAGAATGTCACCTTGTTTCATATCTGCCTCCTGTGTGGTTGGCTGGGGAAGGGGACCGCAGGAGTGGGGTGAGGTTAACCTCATTGTTGTCTTATATGGTCATTTAAATCTCCCAGGGCTTCCTCCAAGGGCCAAAAATAATCCGAGACACAGCAGCTGTGTCCAGCACAGAGCGGACCGGGCCATCTGCTTTGGTTCAGAGCCCTGCGTCTGTCTGTCAGTCTCTCCCCCTCAAGCTCCCTCTGTCCTCGGACCTGCCTCTGGCCATGACCTGCTTCTCATATGCAGAGTATTTTTCCCTCTTTCACTCCTGCCCTGCACCCTCCAGGTCCACGGCGCCTCCCGAGAGCGGCTCGGCCCACTTGGGCCTGTTCCAGGGGGTCATGCAGAAATACAACCGCAACAAGGCCTCCCAGCTGGCGTAAGTGACCCCGGGCCTGCCCCTGAGACCATCCAGGCTCCTCTCCCAACTGGGGATGGTGGGGGAGAGGGGTGGGAAGCCTGCCCCCAGGCCCCAGGCGGGGGGGCACTCTGGGGGAGACCTCCCAGGCACACCCCTCCCTAGGGTGTCCCCCTGAGACCCAGTGCTCTGCTGAGCTGGGCTTGGTGGTCACAGACTCGGCCCTCAAGCGATGGCCAGGCTGTGACTGTGATGAATCTGAACGAGCCCTGTGTATTGGGGGGCTGTGGGCTCTGAATCTGGGGACCCAGCGGGGAGCCGGCCCTAGAACCTCTGAGGCCCAGAGGGGTTCGGAGGAGCCAGAACTGATAAGTCAGCCACACCCTCTGTCTCAGTCTCCCCCACCCCTTGTCATCACTGCGGGGGGCAGGGTTCGTTTCGCTTTGTTGCCTTTATTTGTTAAGTGCCAGGTGCTAAAATCCAGAAATAATCGAGTTACCGATTCCCGGAGGATGTGTTAGTCCGGCACCAGGGTGCTGGGCTAGGTGTGTCCGTGGGAAATAGCTCTGTACCGTTTGCTTCTCTCTCCCCATATGGACCCCAGAAGCAGCTAAAAGCAAAAGAAGGGCCATCGCTGGCACCCTGTCCGCTTGCCCGGCTGTGCTGGGGAGAGGGGAGGAGGCCATGGCCGATGTGTCGCTCCTCCTCCCCAGCCCATTGTGAGCCCCCACTTCCGCGGTGCCGCCGGTGGGGTTTGACTGTGGAGGAGACCCGGGTTCTGGTCTCAGCGCTGCCGCGGTTTCCTGTGACTGCCCGGGAGTCGCTGTGAGGTTAGAGGACAGAGCGGCCTCCAGGGTCCTGTTCAGGTCCTTAGTTTCTGAGGGCCTGACACCCCAGCGGCCACTCCCACCCTCAGGGCGGGACTTTGGCTGGGCTCACAGAGAAGCCATCCTCGGCTCCAGGGGGAGGACACCAGGCTGGTGGCGCCCCGGCAAGGCCACAAGAACAGCCAGCCGCCTCTTTCCACTTCAGCCGGGGCCCCCAGGAGACCTTCCAGGGAGACGGGACACATACCCCTCTGGGGCTGCTCTGGCCGCTCATCAGAGGAACTCGTCAGGGCTGGGGACCCAGCGGGGAGCCGGCCCTAGAACCTCTGAGGCCCAGAGGGGTTCGGAGGAGCCAGAACTGATAAGTCAGCCACACCCTCTGTCTCAGTCTCCCCCACCCCTTGTCATCACTGCGGGGGGCAGGGTTCGTTTCGCTTTGTTGCCTTTATTTGTTAAGTGCCAGGTGCTAAAATCCAAAAATAATCGAGTTACCAATTACCGGAGGATCTGTTAGCCCTAGGTGTGTCCGTGGGAAATAGCTCTGTACCGTTTGCTTCTCTCTCCCTATATGGACCCCAGAAGCAGCTAAAAGCAAAAGAAGGGCCATCGCTGGCACCCTGTCCGCTTGCCCGGCTGTGCTGGGGAGAAGGGAGGAGGCCATGGCCGATGTGTCGCTCCTCCTCCCCAGCCCATTGTGAGCCCCCACTTCCGCGGTGCCGCCGGTGGGGTTTGACTGTGGAGGAGACCCGGGTTCTGGTCTCAGCGCTGCCGCGGTTTCCTGTGACTGCCCGGGAGTCGCTGTGAGGTTAGAGGACAGAGCGGCCTCCAGGGTCCTGTTCAGGTCCTTAGTTTCTGAGGGCCTGACACCCCAGCGGCCACTCCCACCCTCAGGGCGGGACTTTGGCTGGGCTCACAGAGAAGCCATCCTCGGCTCCAGGGGGAGGACACCAGGCTGGTGGCGCCCCGGCAAGGCCACAAGAACAGCCAGCCGCCTCTTTCCACTTCAGCCGGGGCCCCCAGGAGACCTTCCAGGGAGACGGGACACATACCCCTCTGGGGCTGCTCTGGCCGCTCATCAGAGGAACTCGTCAGGGCGGCAGTGATGGCGTTGATGGGGATTCCAGGGCTTATCTGGTCAGTTACCCATCATCCTTGCTGGGTCTGTCACTTAACTGGCATCTAAGCTCCCAAGCTATTAATAACCGAGAGGCTGAGAGTCAGGGGGAAGTTTGCTCCGGCTGGAGGAAGCAGTGGGAGGGTGGAGGGGCTGGCCTGGGAGACGCTGAGGGCCTATCCCAGCCTTGGACAGGAGTGGGGCCCCGTCACTTCTCCACCTGGGAAGTGGGGCCGCATCTGTAGAATGTTCTCCAGGAGGAGATCTGGGAGTCATAGGCATCATGGTCTTCACTGACTCTCCAAGGATGGGGGGAGGGAGCTCTGGGAATGCATGCGTGATGAATGGATGAATGAATGAATGAATGAATGAAGTCACTTTAATAGGCCAAGCAAAGAAGTTATCATTTGTATTAGCCCTGGGGGAATGCATGCGTGATGAATGGATGAATGAATGAATGCATGAATGAATGAAGTCGCTTTAATGAGCCAAGCAAAGAAGTTATCATTTGTATTAGCCCTGAATTCTTTTTGACATTCAGAGTTTTAAATTTATTGATTAATCAGATTGATTAATCCTTCTAGAACTTAAGTCTTTCAGGTCCTTAGTTTCTGAGGGCCTGACACCCCAGCGGCCACTCCCACCCTCGGGGCGGGACTTTGGCTGGGCTCACAGAGAAGCCATCCTCGGCTCCAGGGGGAGGACACCAGGCTGGTGGCGCCCCGAGAGTGTTCTCACTATGCTGCCCCCCCCCGCCCCGCCCAAGGCCACAAGAACAGCTGGCCGCCTCTTTCCACTTCAGCCAGGGCCCCCAGGAGACCTTCCAGGGAGACGGGACACATACCCCTCTGGGGCTGCTCTGGCCGCTCATCAGAGGAACTCGTCAGGGCGGCAGTGATGGCGTTGATGGGGATTCCAGGGCTTATCTGGTCAGTTACCCATCATCCTTGCTGGGTCTGTCACTTAACTGGCATCTAAGCTCCCAAGCTATTAATAACCGAGAGGCTGAGAGTCAGGGGGAAGTTTGCTCCGGCTGGAGGAAGCAGTGGGAGGGTGGAGGGGCTGGCCTTGGAGACCCTGAGGGCCTATCCCAGCCTCGGACAGGGGTGGGGCCCTGTCACTTCTCCACCTGGGAAGTGGGGCCGCATCTGTAGAATGTTCTCCAGGAGGAGATCTGGGAGTCATAGGCATCATGGTCTTCACTGACTCTCCAAGGATGGGGGGAGGGAGCTCTGGGAATGCATGCGTGATGAATGGATGAATGAATGAATGAATGAATGAAGTCACTTTAATAGGCCAAGCAAAGAAGTTATCATTTGTATTAGCCCTGGATTCTTTTTGACATTCAGAGTTTTAAATTTATTGATTAATCAGATTGATTAATCCTTCTAGAACTTAAGTCTTTCAGCTGCTAAAAGTTCTGGGGTGAGGATAAGGGTCAGGAGCAAGAAGAGGGTTGCTGAGTGCAGAGTTCCCCTCGGAGGGGTCTGTGCCTTCGTCTCAGAGCTGCTCAAAGCGCAATCGGCCCCAGAGGTGAAGGTGCTGGGCCAGTGTGGGAGCCCTGTGCTCAGGGAAGGAGGTGAAGTGTCGCTAACACCGCCTGCGGGGTCAGTCTTCCATCCCTTTGGAGGCCGGCACTGTACACTCCAATCCTCTGGGCGGACATGGTCTTGGTGTAACACCAGAGGCAGCCACTAACAACCACAGGGATAGAGGGGTCCCCTAATTCTCTTCCAGCCACCAATGAGCCTTGTCTAAAAGGGACCCCGTGTCCAGCTGTGGAAGTGGAGGAGCTTGCCATGTTTCAACCGTTTCTAGCAGTTTCCCTATGTGGCAGGCGTTTGGAGATTAAAGCTGTGAAAACGCCCAGGATGCTCACAGGGGGAGTGAACCTGGCGAGGCTTGATCCGGACCCACGCCCACCTTTGTAGGCCAGTGTGTCCTCCAGATGCCCCAGGGAGGCCATTGCCACAAATGTTTTGAACAAGATGTAAATAAAATGCCCCAAGAAACAAGCAAAACTCTGATTTAAAAAAAGCCTATCTTTTTGGAAACAGAAGGGATGAAGGTGTGAAATAATTGTTGGGGTTCCCAGGTTCTGAATTCTTCCTTTTTTTCCT